ATTATTATTATTTTGATCCTGAGGATTGAACCCAGAGCCTTGTGCATGCAAGGCAAATAAATGCTTTATCACCAAGAGAGCTATACCTCTAGTCCCTTATTAATTTACATTTTGGCATATCAATATTTATCTTTCTGAAGTGATATATAAGTTCCATTTTTTCCTAAATACATTTCTAAAGTGGCCAGTTGTCCTTCATTATGGTTATTCAATGCCATTTTTATATATTCCATGCTTAAACCACAATTTCAGTATATTTATTGAATTCAGAAAACTTCTGAGTTGCTGTATCCTATGTCATTTATTTTCTTTTTCTCTGGCCTCTGAAAATACTATAGTGAATATTTTTTAAAATTCTTTTTTATATCAAAACTCATTATTTTATATAATGAATATATTCTAATTAAAAACAGAGATCTTTTAATTTATTAACCTCAACCTAGTTTATAGTTTTTCTTTGTGGTTGTACAAAGGAATATTTATAGCTTGCATTTTAAAAGTTATTCAGATCTGCTGGGCATGGTGGCACACACCTTTATTCCCAGGCAGAGGTAGGCAGATCTCATTGAGTTCAAGGCCAGCCTGTCCTACATAGTGAGTTCCAGACCAGCTGGGGCTACAGGGAGACCTTCTCTCAAAAAGACCCCCCCGCAAAAAAGTTATTCAGACCTTTTTTTAAAAAAAATTATTATTTTTGTGTGTATGAGTGTATTGCCTGCATGTATGTAAGTGCATCCATGTCATGTAATGCCCACAGAGGACAGAAGAGGCTGTCAGATCCCCTGGAACTGGAGTTACGGACAGTTGTTAGCTGCTGTGTGGGTGCTGGGATTCAAACCCATGTCCTCTGCAAGAAGAGCCAGTGTTCTTAACCGCTGAGCCATCTCTCTAGCCCCAGTTATTCAGACCTTTCTGTAATGGCACTCAAAAGCCCAAGTTGGAAAGATCTGTGTTTTATATGAGGAAATAATGGAGATGAATCCATGTAATTGACATTTATCTGAGAAGTAGGGCTGTATCTGAATAAACATGCTTTAAAAAAAATCAGGAATTATCTATATTATTTGTTCCCACACTTCTAAAGCATGTAAAGTGCTATAAAACTATTGCTATAAAAACTCTGTAAGCTAGTGCTGTAAAAACTACCCAATTAAGAAGTTATCAGCTGGCTTAGAGGTTAGCAGTGCTTGCTGCCAAGACTGAGGACCTGAGTTCAGTCCCTAGGACCCACATGATAGAAGAAAAGAACCTATTCCTAAAACTTGTCCTCTGATCTCTACATGCATGATATGGCACACACACACACACACACACACACACACACACACACACACACACAGAGAAACTTTAAACTTGTAAACTTGGGAACTTGTAAAAGGACTGTTTTGTTAGTGGAATAAATGAGACTACATTATATGTAGAAATCAGGAGATAGTGCTTGTATTGTGGTGGAATAAGAAATTAGGTCCAGAACTGGGGTGTACTCAGGAGTGTAGCATGTGTTCAGCATGTGTGAAGCTCTAGGTTTGATCACCAGCACCTCAGAATAAATGAGATAGGTTCATTTAATTACATTAGGGGACATATCAACGCTCTTGAACACCCAGGGCAGTGACTGAACCAGGGGCAGAACTGGGAAGTTCTTTGTTAAACCAACTTCCTGTTCTCTGTGCTTTTTCTTGTCTGGCTGAGCCCTCCACCTAAGCCTCAGCACCTCCACTCCTTTCCTCACAGCCATCTGTTCCACTGCACATTCCAGTGCTTCTGGGCCTCACAGGTATATATTTGCAGCCAGCACCCAAGGTGATTAAGCACAGCTAACCTTTGCTAAGAAAGTCAGACTTTAGGATATACAGAGTTAAGATATTGCCTATTCTGGGGTTTGCATTTCAGCAGGCAGTCCAAAGTTTAAACTGATGAATTCTGCAGGGCTCGATAACAGCCAGGGCACGAAGGCCCTCTGCCTGTGCCACAGGCCAATAGAAAACTTCATCGTGTTCTTCTCACCTGTAGAAACCTTCTATATCTGTCAGATACTGCTGGGATGGTAACATAGAAAGGTTCAGAATCACAGTGTCAGAACTGAAGGGAACCCACATGATCCTGATCATCTTATATATTGTTATTACATATTTATTTGTGTGGGTACGCACACACACACACACGCATACCATGTTGCACATGTGGAGGTCAGAGGACAACTCGTGGAAGTTGGTTCTCTCCAACCATGTGGATCACAGGGATGAAACGTGGGTAGTCAGATTGGCAGCAAGTGCTCTTATCCCCTGCACCATCTTGCCAGCTCCAGCCTAATGATTTTATAAATGTTGTCTTTAGTTTTCTTTTTCTGTATTTTATATTCTTATACCCTTGAGATGTTTTGATAGAAGTAGCATTGCCTTCTGTTTTCTCAGTGTCAAGGAAACTGGGGTAATATAGAAAATACCTATTTTTAAGAATGAAATTGTTATTTCTTTCCCTTTTAGATCTTGTCTAAACTTACTTTGCCTGCACGCCCCTGGGAACAAGCAATGAAGCAGAGTTTTGCCTTTGACAATGTTGGCTATGAAGGGGGTCTGGACAGCACATGCTCCTCTCCAGCAACTACCAATATGGTCAGCATTCGGGGCATGACTTGCCAGTCATGTGTCAAGTCCATCGAGGACAGGATCTCTAGTTTGAAAGGCATCATGAACATTAAGGTTTCACTGGAACAAGGCAGTGCAACTGTAGAATACCTGCCATTGGTCGTGAACCTGCAGCAGATTTGCCACCAGATTCGGGACATGGGCTTTGAAGCCAGCATCACAGAAGGAAAGGCTGCTTCCTGGCCTTCCAGGTCCTCCCCAGCCCAGGAGGCAGTGGTCAAGCTTCGGGTGGATGGCATGACCTGCCAGTCCTGTGTCAGCTCCATTGAAGGCAAGATTCGGAAACTACAAGGGATTGTGAGAGTCAAAGTCTCCCTCAGCAATCAAGAGGCAGTCATCACTTACCAACCTTACCTCATTCAACCCGAGGACCTTAGGGACCACATCAGTGACATGGGATTTGAAGCTATCATCAAGAACAAAACAACTCCCTTAAGCCTGGGCCCAATCGATATTGGCCGATTAGAAAGCACTAACCTAAAGCAACCAGCAGCCTTTACTAACCAGAATTCCAATAACTCTGAGACCTTGGAGCACCAAGAGAGCCACATGGCCACCCTCCAACTGAGAATAGATGGGATCCACTGTAAATCTTGTGTTTTGAATATTGAAGGAAATATAGGCCAGATCCCAGGGGTTCAAGATATTCATGTGTCCTTGGAGAACAAAACTGCCCAAATACAGTATAACCCTTCTCGTGTCAGCCCCTTGTCCCTGCAGAGGGCCATCGAGGCACTACCACCTGGGCACTATAAGGTTTCTTTTTCTGATGGAGCAGAGGGGAGTGGCCTTGAGAGTGGGCCTTCTGGTTTTCAGTCCCCTGGCTTTCCCCAGAGATACCAGGAGCAGGGCCCGTGCAGTAGTGTGGTACTCGCCATCGCTGGCATGACCTGTGCATCCTGTGTCCAGTCTATCGAAGGCATGATGTCCCAGCGGAAAGGTGTCCAGCAGATATTCGTCTCTTTGGCAGAAGGGATTGGAACAATTCTTTATGATCCCTCTGTAGTTAACCCAGAGGAACTCCAAGCAGCTCTAGAAGACATGGGATTTGAGGCATCAGTGATTCCTGGTATGTCATTGCTATGTTTGAAGCGTGTCTGGGGTCATTTCTTGATGCCTTTAAACAGGACATGAGTGGTTAGATAGGTGGGTCCTGCATACTGCCTCCCTCATGGGTTGATAAGTTGCCCATCTGTTACTAACAGTTTAGAGGAAATGGAATTTCCAAGTGCTGCCTTTCGTATAGCTGATACTTAAATGCTAAACTCTTGGGATTTGGGCTTCTTTTCTAGAGAAAATTCTGAGTATGTTCTAAAAACCAGTGCTTGTAGGACTAGGAGACCCTTCTTGTCCCAAAGTAATGATTATTTCTTTGAAGCTTTCTGTACTATGCAAAGCAAAATAATAATACCAGCACTTAAGAAGCTGAATCAGGACTGCTACAAGCCCAAAGCCAGTCTGGGCTATATACAAAGCCCTGTCTCAAAAACAACATGCCAGGCATTGTGGTCCTCACCTGTAATCATAGGGCTTGTGGGTAGCAGTAGGTAGATCAGGAGACAAGGTCATCCTCAACTACATGGCAAGGTCAGGCCTAACCAAGGGCTACATGAGCCTCCATCTCAAAAACCAAACAAAAACAAAACTAGAAACAAACAAAACCTCAGAACCTTAGTCTTAGCAACTGAAGGATATGGTGTTCAAAGTGGGAGTTGTGGAGGGAGGTTACAGTGATTGTCTCTGGCTTCTTCTGATAGCTCACACAGCCCTTACAGAAGGGTGGGTATGACAGGGTTACAAAGCAGGGGGTCCCATTCTGAGATGGTCCATCAGGCAGAATTTCCTAAGTGGCAGACACCCCTGCTTCTTCCCAGTTCTGACTAGCTTTTTCTTTCACTCCTTCCACTTGGGTGCCCTATAATATAGCATCATTTGAACCCCTCTGCATATCATGTGGCCAGGGCCTGGGCTAGCTGTGGGACTGCTGCATGAGAAAGATCATTTCAGTGCTTTCTTTGTTATTAGAAAGCAGAGGAAGCATTAAACTACTTCCCGTCCTTTGTGAGTCCAGGCCATAATTTTTCCAGGAGGGTATGTGAGAGAGTTTGAGGTGGGGAAGGAAGGCCCAAGAGAGCTGGAATCTGCCTAGACAGTGGCCTTGGTGCTTCAGGGAAGCTGAAGAGGAGTGCAGGGTGGCCTGAGTGAGAGGACAACAGGCTGCTTCTCCGCTCAGTACAACAGGTCAGAGGTCAGAGCTACCAGACTTGGGGTCAGGGCTGGCTCTGTGTGTGATGGGGGAGGGCTTTGGAGGAGAAGCAGAGCCCAGAATGAGTTCTTCCCAGCTGCTGGAGGACTGTGTGGGGCTGGGGAATGTAGATTTGAGTAAAGGAGCTCTGCATGAGGACATGACCAGGCAGTGAGAAGAGAGGGAGCCTGAAGTGGGAAGGGCACAAAGAAGCGTCACCACATGGTGACTAAAGAAGAGGGCAGCCTCTTAAAATAGCTTGAGAGGCAATGGAATCAAAGGTGAGAAGCCTCTATCAGGGTTAGCTAGGGGCAGTCCATCAGAGGCCTCAGCACAGGTAGGGACAGGGAGGCCTAGGATGAGGAAGGAGGGTTGCTTACTTTCTGTTGAGACAGGGTCTCGCCTTGTTGCCCAGGCTACTGTCAAACTCCTTGGGCTTAAGCAATCCTGATCCTCCTATCTTAGTCTACTGAGTGGGGTCTTTAGGCTTGGGGGGGCATATTTGGTGAGGGACAGCTTTGTGGGTGGTGATGTTTTAACAGTGTACTTCCCAGATGTATAGACTGGGCTAGAATGTAGTACTGCAGAGCCTTTCAGCTGGGGTAAGTGTGTGATCCAGCACTCAGAGCTACTTACGGCACCCAGGCAAAGCCCCTAGCAGTACCTAGAGTCTCTGGACTTTGGTTTCCCATATCCGGTTTCCTCTGACCACTGACATAAACTGTGTCTGATTGTGATACTTTCCTGTCTCCCCTCTGTACACACCAGGAGCCAGTAAGTCGTGGAGCCTAGTGGCCACATTCTTTGTCCTTTGTACCAACGAGGTTTTTTGGTTTTTTTGTTTTTTTTTTCCGCTACCTTCTCTGCACCCTAGGAAAAAGTTGTGTGTGTGTTTAAACAGAAGCAATAAAGAAAGCACAATAGCATAGTACGTTTTGTACTCCAAAGGTAAGAAATACAGAAGCAGCTCAGCATATGCTGTTTTGTGTAAGGTTTACTCTTCAACAGTACAATCAAGTTATTGGCAGCAAAATGGAAACAACTATTGAAATACAGATTAAAGGTGACTGTATTTGACAGAGCAAACCTAAGAAGAAAAGAAGTAATTTATATTGGTTAGAACTATGAGAATTATACCTATTTAGCCCGAGAGGTACCTTGGGTGTGAGATTTCACAAATAAAAATACAGGCACCCAGTTGAATTTGAATTTCAGATAACCATGAATGATTTCTTTAGTATAAATATATGAGCATTGACTATACTTACACTAAAGAGGTTGCCACTTATCTGAAATTGAAATTTAACTGAGCATACCATATTTTACTAAGTAGTTTTAATTTAGGATAAACTATCACTGTGCTGGTGAGTGTCTCATGTGCTGAGGGGCTATCATATCCTAAAATGAGTAGAAGTTTACTGGTTAGCAAAAAATGACCAACAATTTTCATGTGTGAGATTTGTCCAAAAGAAAAACTGAGACGCCATAGGCTGATGTCAATAGAGATTGCTGCCAATCCTGTCCTTTGTTTTGCACTTGTAGCTTTAGAAAAATGACAGGTTGTCGTTAAATCATATAATTACTGTTTCTACATACTCTTAAAGGTATCTTGCATTATCAGAATAGTGTGCCTTTCTGGGGTGACGAAGATTTTTATGTATTAGTCTGGATGGTATTGCCTAGGTGTGTATGTATGTATGTTATATATTAGTTTGGATGGTACTCCATATGTATGTATGTATGTATGTATGTATGTATGTACGTTATATATTAGTCTGAATGGTATTGCCTAGGTATGTGTATATGTGGTAGAAATAATGGTCCCCACGGTGTCCATACTTCAGTCCCTGGAACCTGTGAGTGTACAACATTAAAGAACCAAATAATCTTATACATGTGATGAAAGGAATGGTTCTTGAGGTAGAGGGATTCTGCATTATGCAAGTGTGCCCAGTCATGTCTAGTCATTGAAAGTGGGAACCTTATTTAACTGGGCTAGATTGATGTGACAAATAGAGATTTAGGATTGTTAACTTTGAAGGTAGAGGAATGGGGCTGGGAACTAGGAACAAACAGATTCTCAGACACACACATATACATAATTAAAAATAAAATATTATTTTTCTTTTTTGGTCTTTTTGAGACAGGGTCTCCCTGTAGCCCCAGCTGTCCTGGAACTCAGTATGTACACCAGGCTGGCCTTGAACTCACAGAGATCTGCCTGCCTCTGCCTCCCAAATGCTGGGATTAAAGGCATGCACCACCATGCCCAGCTCAGATTCTCTTATAGAGCCTCTTGAAGCACAAGCCCTGCTGATACCTTGATTATAGTGTTGTTTGACATTTCTGACTTTAATGCTATAAAATAATACTTTAAGCCACTTAATTTTTGGCAATTTGTTATAGTATCAATAGGAAACTAATTCAACATCTTTTAAGACCAGAAAGGCACTTACTCTTCAGATTTTTGAGAAAAGAAAAGGAAAAAGACAACAGGGTACTGGCACATGGACAGACAGAAAAGATCAGGAGACATAATGGAGCCTAGAGACAAGTCCATTCATGTGTGATCTTCCAGTTCATGTCACTGGAACCCTGGGGAAAAGGTGGTTGTCTTTTCAGACTTTGGAGGAGGATCATAACTGAGAAAAAATTAACTTTGACCATTACCTTATACTCCATATAAGAAATATTTGAAGTGTATTATAGACTTGAATATGAAGGTTTATTAAAACTTCTAGAGGGACTAGGAAGTTGGCTTAGAAGGAAAAGTGAATACTGCACAAGTATGAGGACTGGAGTTCGGATTCCCCAGCACCCAGATAAAATCTCAAAGCCCACCTGTAATCCCAGCATTATAGAGACAGTAGATCCCCGGAGCAGGCTGGCTAGACAGACTAGCTAGATCAGCGAGCTCTAGGCCCAGTGAGAGATTCTGCTTCAGTAAATAAAGTGGAGAAAGATCAAAGAAGGCCCCCGATGTTAACCTCTGTCCTCCACATGCATGTGCACCCACACATACATGTGCACCCATATACCCACATGCATATACACATATACCCCTCTCCCCACACACTCTAGAGCTTCTAGAAGAAAATGGTATGAATATTTTTGCCAAGTTGAGGTAGACTCTATTAAAAGAAGTATTTTTTAATAAAGATTGGCATACTGGAGCTTATTAATTTAAGAAATTTGTTTACCAAAGACTTCATTAGAAGGGTAAAAACACAAACACAGCTGGAAGGAGATATTTGCAATCCATGTAACTGACAAAGGTGTCATATTTAGAATATAGAGAACTGAACAAACAAGAAAAAGGCAAACAACTTACTAAGGTGTAATTCTTGTGGGGAGGGACATACCTCTGCTAACAAGAATGAGGTATTGGTCAAAGGTACAGGTGTTAAACAGGAGTTAAAGAGGCCCTTTTTGCAGTGTGCTCCATTACTAAGAGACTCCTCTTTTTCTTTTTTCTTTTCTTTTCTTTTTTTTTTTTTTTTTGGTCTTTTCTTGAGACAGGGTTTCCCTGTAGTCACAGCTAGCCTGGATTCACTATGGAGACCAGGCTGGCCTTGAACTCAGAGAAATCTGCCTGCCTGCTTCTGCCTCCTGAGTGCTGAGGTTAAAGGTGTGCGCCACCACACCCAGCTTTTTTTTGAAACATTTGAGAACTTTATTTTTTTTTACATTTTAATGATCATATATTCATTGTATAAAATGATGGATTTCATGCTATTTTCATTTAAGTGTGTTGTATACTTTGATCTTATTTGCCTTTCCTCAACACTTTTACCCCCTGTACCCCACTGTTCCTCTTCCCTTCTCAGATACTCTTTACTTTCATGTCTTGCTGGTTTTTGTTTTTCTGAGAAGTTTGAGCAGGTTCTCATGTAGCACAGGCTTTCCTCCAACTCAGTATGTAGCCAGGGATGACCTTGAACTCCTGATTCTCCTGCCTCCACCTCTGAAGGCTTGGGATTATAGAGGTGTACCACCATGCCAGGCTTTCACATCATATATTTTTTTTAAAATGTAGATTCACATGAGACACATTAATCTCTTGTAGGTCATTTCTTCATCTATAAAATGAGATAATTGTATTTACCATATAGGATTGTTTTAAGAACAAAAAGAAGTCTCACATGAAGTGCTTAGCAGAGTGTCTGGTGGTTACTGCATTGTTCCTTTTACTGTCACCACCGTTTATTTATTCACAACAGTCCTTGAAGCGCTAGCATGTTTTCATGGGTCTGTAATTGTGTGCCACTCCATGAGACTCCAGCCCCATATCACCTCTCCAGAAACTTTACTCTGAATATTGTCAGGCTTGAACTGTGGTTTTGAAAAGCAAGTTTACTTTTGGTCTTCTAATTATGTCTCATATTTTATTATAGAAAATGTCTCCACCAACCATGTCAGAAACCTCAGCACTGAGAATCCTGTGCCACAAACTAAGGGTGATACCCAAGTATCTGTGCCAGAAATGGCTACCCACACGAGATGGCTCCCCCCAAACCATGATCCTGGCTACTCGTCAGATACTCCACCATCCATGGGAACAGCAGCACCACAGAAGTGCTTTTTACAGATCAAAGGCATGACCTGTGCATCCTGTGTGTCTAACATAGAAAGGAATCTTCAGAAAGATGCTGGTAAGAGGTCTGCAGCCAATGTTGAACTTGGGACTGCTGCGTGTGGAGTCTCCATTGACAATCTGGCAGCAAGCTCATCACATGCTAGTGTAGATGTTTGTCCTTGTGAAACTGGTATTCTGTCCTTGAAGAAGCATTTAGTTTAAGATAAAGTGTATCTCTGAGTAAGTGAAAATCAAAAGGTCATGGTACAGTCTATGGAAAAATTACTCACTTAGCTTTTCCTAGTATTATTCCATATCCCTCCATTCTATCAACACTATTCTATAAAATGAATAACTAGCATGCACTTAGTAAGAATTTCTACTTTCAAATATCCTATCCTATTGTCCCCATAACCTATAAATTTGTGTGGATATGCTGACCACATTTTCAGTAGAGCTTCTTAAACCTGAAACTGCAATAAAAATCCTGTCTGTTTTTGTTTGGAAATGCTTTGATCCTGATCCTACCCTCACCACTAGAGTAAACTCCCCTTCCTAGTGATTTCATGAGACTTTCTGCTCTGATTCCCTGACCCTTCATCAACCTTAAGTTAGGATATCAGATTTTTCCCAGCCTCTCATTCACCATGCTTTAAAGCTCTGGAGCTCCAGGATCACTGTTCTAAACTGAGGTGTGTTACAGTTTATATCTAGGGTTATTTTAAGGATTAAAAGAAGTCACATGCAAAGTACTTAGCCAAGTGCCTGGTAGTATCAACATCACCATTTGCCCACCAGAACATCTTTGAAGCGCTGGCATATTTACTATCCATGGACTGACTGATCATGAAATTAATATATCTCATAATGCTTATGTTTCTGCACCTTACTTCTCATTTTTATCTCTTAGGGTATATTTTCTAAAGCATATCATTTTCATTTACTTGAATGTGACTTAAACTAACACAATAGTATTAGCCAGATTGTCTGCAGGGTTTTTTTTTTTTTTTTCACTTTTGAAAGTCATTAGAAACTAGAGGTAAAATAATTTTTGGAAATTTCTTAATTTTTCCTTTGTTTGTCAGTGTCTAGAAAGAAAGTATGCCCTTTCTATAACGGTGGTTGATCACTGCAACTGCATCCTTTGTTTTGAAGTACATGCAACATGGGCCTTCCAATGTCTTGACATCTTCAAGGGTTGGGTAGACATGTGGAACCTTAGATCAACTGAATCAGAATCTCTCACCTAACCAGGTCCTCAGATGGCTCATATGCCTATTAGTGTTTGAGAAGCATTGTTCTAGAATAGTGGCTGTCTAACTGGACTGTAAAGTAGAATCACTTGAAAAGCTTTTAAGAAATGACATCTGGCACCTACCCTGGGAGATACTAAACTGCCCAATCTGAGTTAGGATCCAGGCATCGAGGTTGGTTGTGGCTTCCCAAGTGATGCTCATACATAGCCAACTTCAAGAGCCAGTGCGCTAGACACTTCTTAGTGAGACAGTTTTCTCTGTTAATCCATATTAACATTACTCAGCTGCCTTGCCCAGAGATCACAGCTATGACCTGATGGTTTCAGGTATTGTTTCTGTGTTGGTTGCCTTGATGTCGGGAAAGGCAGAGGTCAAGTATAATCCAGAGGTCATCCAGCCGCCCAGAATAGCTCAGCTCATCCAGGACCTGGGCTTTGAAGCAACAGTCGTGGAGGACAACGCAGGCTCTGAAGGTGACATTGAACTAATTGTAAGTACACTTGTTGTCCCCTAGAGGGTGCAGGCTGCGGATGGTGTTAGGGATGTTTCTGACAGGGGCTGTCCTTATGACCAGTAAATTTCATCCATCTTGGATAGACCCATTTGTTGCTAGGAGATATACTTTGTTTTGTTTGACCTGTTCAGTTTGTGAAGGAAAATCAGGTGTGTCAAAGAGACAGAGGAGGCCTTCCCACTAGATACATTTAGAGTCAAGAGGGATAGATGGTGAGACATAAGAGTTTGGATGAGAGGAGGCACAAATGGTCGACTGTGTTAAGAATGGTAAACTGGAAAAACAACGTGGCCTGGTCACTAAGTCTAAAGAGAGGCTCAGGTACCTACAGGTATCTCTAGACAGACAACTGAGTCCTTGGAGTAGTGAGCTCCATTCAATGATGTATCAAGGACTGGAGCCTAGTATGCATGAGACCCTGAATGAAACAAAGCACAAAGCTCTCAAGCACTTTTAGGTACATCAGTACCTAGATGTTGAGTGACCCAAGTGTCACAGAGCAATAAGAGGTGGATTCATTAAGCAGTGGTTGTCCCACAGTGGTTTTTCTGTCTACTATTATAGCTGCAGGTCAACAAGTCATTGAAAACAATAGGTATTTTGTATTTGCTGTATACGCTGTTCAAAAGCACATTTGTACAAAATGTGTGTAAACAAAGGGAAATGTAGAAGAAACCCCCAAAGAATTGAGTAATACCATTTTACTGAGGTAAGTGGATCCTTTGCTTCCTTGTTTGGTCACTGCCATTAGTGTTAAGTCAATGTTTGAAGAAAGTGCAGACGTGAGGCACATTAAGCTCCTGATAAGTGGTATTCTCAGTAGAGCTTACCCTTTGCTCTGGTTCTGGGGGCTCTCTGTGTGCCGAGGGACAGAGTTAATACTTACTGGCTAGAGCTGGCATCACAAATCAGGGGAGGAACCCCATGCGGACCTAACCTCTAGGTCTGCATGTAAATACCTTGGCCTCACTGCAATTACTGCATAGAAAACCTCAATCAAGAGACAGTTGGAGAGCTGGGGAACTGGCTCAGTGAATAATACTGCACTTGCCATGCAGGCATGAGGACCTGAGTTCAGATCCCCAACATCAAATAGCTGGAGGGGCATGGTGGCCTGCCTGTAATCTCAGGAAATAGAGCTGAGATCTCTGTGGTTAGCCAGACTAGCTGAATGGTCAAGCTCCGGATTCAATTAGAGACTCAGCTTCAGTAAGCAAAATGGAGATCAATCGAGGAAAACACCTGACATCAATCCGTGGCCTACACACACACACACACACACACACACACACACACACACAATGCAAACATACACATGTGAAAGACTTGGAAACAGTGGAAACATTCTTTTAAACAGTATGCTTCATTGCAGTGTTCTTTTTTCAATATATATTTTTTATTGATTTTTTTTTTTTTTTTGGTCTTTTTGAGATAGAGTCTCCCTGTAGCCCCCGCTGGCCTGGAACTCACTATGTAGACCAGGCTGCCCTTGAACTCACAGAGATCTGCCTGCCTCTGCCTCCCAAGTGCTGGGATTAAAGGCATGCACCACTACGCCTGGCTTTTTTTAATTGAATTTTTATGCATTTCATATAGTACATCTTAATCGGGCTGGGCGTAGTGGTGCACATTCTGTCAGAAGAGTGGCCATCTGATTTGTGTCATCCATATTCCAGCAGTGGCTCATCACACTTCAAACCCTTTTTCAAGGGCACAGGACACACAACATGGTATGGCAGAGGGGCCATAGGAGCCAGCTTCAATTCTTGCCCTGTTGCTGCGAAGACTTTCATTAAACTAGTCTCCAAACACTTGCCTCACAGTGCAGAACACAGTGGCTCAGAGCAGATCCTCGAGCCAAACTCTCTTGGTATGGGGCTTCAGCTCTGCTCCTCCCTGGTGCAAAACTTTGCACAAGTTACTAAGGCTGTCAAGCCTGCAGTTTCCAGGCCTCCTTCCCAGGACTGGTGAGAACAGTGTAGTAACTAAGATAGAGCCAGGCATTTTGCAAGAGTGTAATAAAAGTATTGTTATTGTTGCAAAAATGAAAGAGAGCTTATAACTCCATTGAAATATTGGTAAATTTGTTAAATTTGTTGGTGCAGTCAGCACTACCAGCAGGTGAGCTCCTGCTGCCTGATGGTCCTCTCTTGTCTTGTCTTATTCTTGGGTACCATGCTGAGTTGAAAGTGTTCTGGTAGCAGGTGAACTCCCTTCTAGTCTCCTAATTCCAAATGGATCTCTCTTTGGGCATTTAGTCTGTAATTCTGCTGTCAACTTGGAAGTGTAGTTCTAGGTATATTGTCCTGGTGCTCACCCCGCAACCACCCAAAGTGGCTTTGTATCACCTGCTAGCTTAGCAACACTTTCCAGCTGAATGCTCAAGAGCCGCCAGTGCTTCAGACTCCCCTTCTCTTTCTTGCATATCCTGTGCCCTGCCAGGCCTGGCTGCTGCTGGCTGCCTGAACACTGTGTACTACCCTGCCTTTAGCCTTTCCCTCTGTTCCCCTTACCATTTTCTGTTAACATCCTCTTGAGCACTCAGCTGAAAAGTGTTGCTAAGCCAGTAGTTGATGCAAAGCCACTGAGGGGTGATGAGCACCAGGATGATGTGCCTAGAACTCCATTTCCAAGTTGACAGCAGAATTATGGAATAAATGCCCAAAGAGAGAACCATTTGGAGTCAGAGAACTGGAAGGGAGTTCACCTCACATTCTACCCCTTCCACCAGACATTTTCTAAACCCGTTCGCCTCTTGAGAATGTGGCATTGACATTTTCTCCATTGGAGCCAGCAGGGCACTGGAGTGGAGGATCCTAATAGACACGGCAGACTAGACCCCAGTAACACTTGGAATTGTAGACTTTCAGTTCAGAGGGTTTTGCAAATGTGCATATCTGTATACTTGATACACAATGATTCCTGCAGTGTTGCTAGGGAGAAAACGCAATGCAGAGTGATTTCCAAAAGCCCATCCTTCAGAGAGCCGAAAGCCAAACCTTGGTCTGTGGCCACTGGCTTAGTGGTTGCCATTGAATGTACTAGAATTGGGGAAAAGCCACTGAAGCCACTGGGGGACTGTTATGGACAGAATCTTGCACATGGGTCTAGGAGTAGGAGTCCAGAGCCTTGGGAAGGAAGGCACTGTGGAGGGGGCAGGTGGCTTCCTGTCCCTAAGTCCCCTGAGGTACCTTTGAAAGGCTCCTCTCAGGCCTGGGCTTATGGGCTTTTCATCTTCCTGTCTTGCAGATCACAGGGATGACCTGCGCTTCCTGTGTTCACAACATAGAGTCCAAGCTCACCAGGACGAATGGCATTACTTATGCTTCTGTGGCCCTCGCCACCAGCAAAGCCCACGTGAAGTTTGATCCTGAAATCATAGGCCCACGTGATATTGTAAAGATTATTGAGGTAATTCCTTCACAAAAAATTTATATCCACTTTTACAAAGCAGTTATATATTATCATTGAAGAAAAACAAATTTAGTTAAGCTGGAATAAGTAAGAAAATCATCTGTTAATTTTTCCAAGAAGAATACGTCAGTAAGTTAAATTAATCCAAGAAGGTGAGTAAATATCCGAGTAGAGATCAGTGAGCAAGTAAGAAAGAGACAAGGCAGGGCTGGCAAGATGGCTCAGTGGGTAATGGTACTTGCTGTGCAAGGCTGACATCCTGAGTTCAGTCCCTGGAACCCATTGCAGAGGGAGAGAACTGACTCCTAAAAGTCGTACTCTGACCTCCACACGTGCACTGTGGCACACGTGTGCTCACATACACTAAATTAAAAAAAAATTAAAGAAAGAGATGAAAAGAAAAGACATTTTTAATTTCAGATATTCCATGAAATTCAGCGTCAATATTGACAAGATACTTAGTATGGAGAGTTAAATTGCCCAATTGCAGCATTAAAATATTATTTATGTCCATACCAGGTATCTACAGACTCAGGGAATGCTGGCACTGGACAATTAATGTCACATTTTCCTCCATGCCAAGCCTGTCTTGTGTTAGGAGGATTTGGTTACCTTTGCTCTAGAAAATCAGAAGTTTCATGTCTGGCCTGCCTTCTGCTCCCTCTGCTTTCCACAGTGTGTACCAGACTATACAAGAATGGGCATTGGTGGTGATTGGGTTAAACAATCAAAACTAAATAAGACTAACTTGTAACAGCTAGTGTTAAGGATTAATTAAACTTAACAAGACTGCCTGCAATGAAATGTCTTATGGCAGGCTTAATGCCGTGTTATCCTTAATTTTCTCTTCCTTGTGCATGTGTGTTTAAAGACAAAGATCCTTTGTTGTTGGTCCAGCAGAGGTTTATGCCATGGAACTGCTGCTACTGTTTTGACATGGGGAGGCCATCTTCACAGCAGCTTCATCAAACGAGGGCAGAGCTGTAGAACTCACTGATACCCAGCTCACAAGGGGCAAGATGACAACTCAAACCCAGATCTGATTCTGCTATACCCCAAATCTTAGAGAATAGTGGCCACATACCACCTGTGAGGCTGAGGAGTCACAATGGTGCTATACATAGAAAGGAGGGGCCAAGGTGGGGCCTTCAAACATATCTCACCTACCCTCCACCTGCCTCCACCCAGCTCACCAGACTTGATGAAACCTCCTGGACTTCTGTCCTTATTGGGGGAATATTAGAATGTTGCCTGGCTGCCATGCTTGCAATTTGGGGGCATCTTTTCCTAATATGATTAGACTGGAGTTAGCTGTGAAAGTATTTGTCTTTTATTGTCTTTAATACTTTTTCTCCCACCACAGCTTTTCTTTTTTGAAAGTCTCAGCACCAGCATTCTGGGGCGCCCTCCCTATTGTGCTATCAAGAAGTTGTCTGAGAGTTTTCCCTGTGTATATTCATAAGGTACAGCAGAGACTTAATGTTCAGATCAAGGTGGTGGCAGAAGTGCTTGATGTGATCATGAAGAAAGCACAAGGTTGAGGTGTAGCTTCTCAGGCCATCATGGAAGCCACTTCAAGTAGTGAGGCCCTGAGTGCAGCTCAGTGGGAAGTTGGCTGGCCTGGGATCCTAGAGATCTGAGCTCTGCATCTATCTCTTTGGCAAAGGACTTGGCCTCTCTGACCTTCGCTATCTTTTTACGTGGATGAAGATACCAGACCATAAGGCATTTGGAATTCCTTGACACAAGAATCTTCTGAAGTCAACTGGTCAGCTTTTGGGACCTAGTTATATTAGTTTCACAATGCCAGCTGCTTTTACCTACAATAGAGATAGGAATGACCATTCAGTGCCATCTCCTCAGGGTGGTGCAGTCTCTCAGCATAGACAGTGCTGAACCTCTGAACAGGGTTTGGCAGCCATCATGGATGAAAAAGTCATGAGAGGAAAATCTTAGTCTCCAGAAGCACTTTGAGATTTTTATTTCCAGAACTGGAAAAGCTTTTTACCGATATATATATTTTAACCAGTACCTTCCCCCTTGTTTCTCACCCCTCTCTTTTAATCACAAGGAAATTGGCTTTCATGCTTCTCTGGCCCAGAGAAATCCCAACGCTCATCACTTGGACCACAAGATGGAAATAAAGCAGTAGGTAGAACACAGAAGCTAAGCGGTAACCCTGTTTCAATCTGTCTTCCTCTTCTCACTGACTCTGTGGCTCATGCAGATGCCTTCATGCTTAGCTGTGGCCCTGCCACCTCAACTTCCCATACATAGTGCCTTCTTCCTGGGTTAGTTACCTTTACTTTTGTAATGTCAGTAGCTGAAACAGTCCTATCTGTAGAAGTTTCTGGATGATGGCAGCATCTGTGTCTGCATTGCTTAGGATGGTAGACACCAGTCAGGTGGCTAGTTAACACTTGAAATGCAGCTAGTATGTGTATAGAATTAAGTTGTTTCACTAATCCTTTTGGCTGTGTAGACCAGGCTGGCCTCTATCTCATAGAGATCCGCCACTGTCTGCCTTCTGAATGCTAGGATTAAAGGCCTTGCCTTCACTAATCTTGATTAATATAAATAGCCACCTGAGGCTGGTTGCTAGCAGACTGGCAGTGCTTAAGCTTGGACAGAGGGAGGCAAAGGTTAACTTGCCTCCCTTCCTTCCTTCCTTCCTTCCTTCCTTCCTTCCTTCCTTCCTTCCTTCCTTTTTTCTTTTTTGCATAGGAGTATATTGCCTGTGTGCATGTAAGTGCATCCATGTCGTGCAATACCCATGAAGGTCAGAAGAGGCCTTTGGATTCCCCTGGAACTGGAGTTACAGATGGTTGTTAGCTGCTATGTGGGTGCTGGGAATAGAACCCGGGTCCTCTGCAAGAGCAGCCAGTGCTCTTAACCACTGAGCCATCTCTCCAACCTGGCTTTTTCTTTTATAGTCTCTTCAGACTTTATTTGCATGAGTTCTAGAAGTAGGATCTGAAAACGGTCATCATGACTAAGTGGGAAGAAAGTGGCCAGTCAGGAGTGGGAGTATAGATAATGACAGAGTACATGTTTAGCATGCATTAAGGCTCTAGAGGCTCCCCAGCACCAAAAGGAAAAGGAAAAAGGAAGCAGATGACTCATACATGTTTCAGATGGTCACTTAGTCTTTGAATACACTTGAAGGTTGCTGTTGTATACAAGACAGTGCCTAGGGTGGCCCCTGGTCTGGGCAGGAAGGAGTGAGTGGGCTGTGACAGCAGCTGCTTAGGTAGATTCTGGAAGGTCTAGGAAGCAGAGGACTCAGGATTTTCAACTCAGAGAAGACGTGGAAGTGTGTTAGGCTGAAGGAGTTGGTGGGGAGTGATGCCTGCAGTTTGGTTCAGTCAGTGTGCCTGTGACTGGCAGGTGAAGGTCTAGAAAGTCAGTGGGTCTGCCTCTGCATGGCCTTGGACAGCAGCCTGAGACCTCAGGGCCATAGGCTTAGGACTGTAGGCCTGTAGGCTCTGCTTAACATGTGCAAACTTAGAGGTGCCTTCAATAAAGGTTCCGTGCTGCCTGTTTGAAATCTCATGCATGTTGTAGCTCACATGAAGCCACAGCTGTCACCTGTGACCCTTGGTTTCAGATTCTTTGCTCCTTGACTGCCTTACTATTATTATACTCTTGTTTTAAATTGTTTAAAAATTGGATGTGTAAAATAAACATACTGAAAAAATACTCTTTTCATCTGTTTCTTGCTTTGAAGGAGGGGATCTGTATAAGATTGCAAAAATATAAGCAGCTATAGACTAAGGATGATAATCTCTTTGGGACTATATTTTCAGCTTCTGAGTTTCACTGTATGTTGATGGTCACACATCAGCTTGTATAAAGGCAGAATGGAGCTCAAACATCTCCCACATGTCCTTATAGCAGTGTTTGGCTCTTTAGATGGTTCTTGATGGCAGTATCAGGCAGTGTCACTTTTGTCTTAGCACTTGGTATTCTGTCCCAGACAAGGGAAAAAAGCAAGTCTTAAATGAAGCCCTCAAGAATGGATCTGCCCATCAAGTGCCAAGTGGTTCCAGTGTGTCCATATTGCCACTTTTGCCTTCCAGGTGGAAGAAATCTTTCCTGTGTAGCCTGGTGTTTGGCATCCCTGTCATGGGCTTGATGATCTACATGTTAATCCTCAGCAATGAGCCCCACGAGACTATGGTCCTGGACCACAACATCATTCCAGGACTGTCCATTCTAAATCTCATCTTTTTCATCTTGTGTTCCTTCGTCCAAGTATGTATTAGAAAACCGGGCAAACCTCTACTCTCCATGCCCACACATGGCCAGTGGATCTTTGCTCTTAGGCTGCCACAGCCCTTTGGGTTGGTATTTTATTACAGTGGCAACATGGTGCTTCATTACAACTTTGCTGCCCTACCTCCAGGTAGTTACTACTGTTATTTCTGTCTTATGACCAGCAGAGAGGGACAGGATGGGGGATGGCTGCCAATGTGGGAACTAAGAGGGCCTGGTTTCACTGTCCATTTCACAGTTGATTGCAGGTGATGGAAACTCCCTAGAAGAATCCCCTCCCCTTGCAAGACTGGGGAAATTGGTGAACCCAGCTGTCACTGGTGTGTGTGTGTGTGTGTGTGTGTGTGTGTGTGTGTGTGCGTGCGTGCTAGGGATGGACCCAAGGACCTCATGCATGTGAGGCAGGTGTGCCATTGCTCAATCACAACCTCAAGCTCTCACTGATTTGCTTGTTGTTTTAGTTTACCTTTGTTGTTAGAAGCATCAGCTGACTGTCCCCCAGCTCATGCTTCCTTTGATCTATTCTGAAAGGCAAAGATGTGCTCTTTTGTCTTTGGATACATTTTTGTTTGGCCTGATGGAACATCTATTGTGACATTAAGGACCCAGCCATGTACCTGGTGGAGAATGTCTCCACATACATTTTGGCATATAAAGCTAAAGTCCTAATTTAAAAATAGAATGCTAGGACTATTTAGGGGCAACTGTTTGTAAGCTGAATTTTTTTTTTGTATTTTTTTTTTAATGTGCTTTGCACTTATTCCAAGTAATTCCAGCCATACTGAAGTATTAGGAACAAAGGAAAAGAGACTCTAACTGATGTCTAACTGATGACACCCTCTTCTAGCCTGGTCCTGTTCCCTACCTTTGCTGCAGTGTCATCAGGAGTGAGGCATGTATCACCCCCAGTTCTCATCTGTCTAGAGCAAATACCTAAGTGCGCATATCAAAGTGTGTGTGCATGTTTACATAACAAATATTGGCACAGATGTTTGTTAATGGACGTAGGATCATAGGAGAACACTGGTGGATTGATGGATGCTGGCTTTTTTTTTTTTTTTTTTTTTGTATCCTGGACATCTTTTATGTCAGTGGTTTATATAGTTCCTTCTCTTTAGAGACTGCATAGGATTGTTCACATTATAAGTGAACCATTTTTTACCATTTTCCTATAATGAACCTTTACATGGTATGCTCTGTGTTTTTATTTTTTTAATAATTTATTTTATTTTATGTGTTTGAGTGTATTGCCTGTATGCATGTTAAGTACACCCATGTTGTGCAGTGCCCATGAGGCCAGAAGAGGGCATCAGATCTCTGGAACTGGAGTTATAGATGGTTGTTAGCCACCATGTGGGTGCTGGGAGCCGAACCTGGGTTCTCTGCAAGAGCAGCTAGTGCTCTTAACCACTGAGCCATCTCCTCAGCCTGCCCTGTGGTTTTAAAGTCTCACATGCTCTTGCTCATCCATTTCTGTGGCCAGCAGTATTGTGAACCAGAAAGTGTGGTTCATCAGAGTCTAAGGCAGAGTGTGTGTCATCAATATCAAATAACACTGAGAACAGAGTGATGTCAGATATGTGCATGAACTGGAGTATTCCTCATCTCAAGGGGCCCAGGATCTAAGTTGCTATGGAGCTATGCCCTGCTTGTCACAGTCTACTGCCTCCTTGTCTTCCAGTTCCTTGGTGGGTGGTACTTCTACGTTCAGGCCTACAAGTCTTTGAGACACAAGTCGGCCAACATGGACGTGCTCATCGTACTGGCCACAACCATTGCCTATGCCTACTCCCTGGTCATCTTGGTAGTCGCCATTGCTGAGAGGGCTGAGAAGAGCCCCGTGACATTCTTTGACACACCCCCTATGCTCTTCGTATTCATCGCTTTGGGGCGGTGGCTGGAACACGTGGCAAAGGTAGCTACAGCTTCGGTTAAGAAAAGAACTATTCCTTCAGTAATCTAAGTCTCAGTCCATCTGCACCACATGTTGAGAACTATTCATTACACACACTACAGAGAAAGACTTAACAGAAATCTGAACCCTCTGTGTAATTAGGGACTGCAGTCACTAATCTCCCAGTTGGTTGCTCCTTTTGAAATCCCAGCTAATCTGCCTAATTAGCAAAACCTTTGTTCAGGTTACTGTATAATGGGAAGAACTCTGAACTTTATGCCAGAACCCACATAGTCTCTTAATGACCTATGCCTATGTGCCTAACAGAGTGTAGGGCTCTAATGTAGAAATCCACACCTCCACTTCAGGGTCAGTGATGTTTAACACCCTTCATTGAATCTAGCATTGTAATGGATCCTATAAGAGAGTGGGAAGGAACTTGAGACCAAGAGAAATGCCATTGGGCAGATTGGAAATTGTTTTCATTTGAAATGGAATTCCAAGGTCTGCTTTGGCAGTACTGGGCTCTATTGTTGTTTGTGGTGCTAGTGTGCATGGCTGCCTCAGTGACACCCTGTGATGTGGCTGCAAGGCTACATGGCTGCTGTCTTTCACACCAGCCACCTCTGACACCATGCTTGTGAGTGTCACCCTTGGTTTGGACAGTCAGATCTCATTTTACATTCTGGTTATTTCCTAGAGCAAGACTTCAGAAGCCCTTGCAAAACTCATGTCACTCCAAGCCACAGAAGCTACAGTCGTGACCCTTGGTGAGGACAACTTAATCATCAGGTGGGTTATGTTCATCAGTAGAGCTTGGGATCCTTTTATATGTCCTGTGTAGTGTACAGCAAGTGTCTATCATGTAATGACATCCCAGTAGATCCTGTGAGAATAGTCAAGGTCCACTAAATAAACCAGGCATTTAAGAAAAACAAACCAGAGTTGGAGGTGCATGTGAATGTTAGATGACAGATGAGATGTGGATAAGGGTATTCCATGAACTAGAAGTAAAGCTAATGATGGTTGAGAAAGACTGTTGTGAGGAAGGAGTCTGCACTGGTCCCTCCTCGTAAGAGAGATCTGGAGGATTCAAGCCAGCAGAGAAAAGGCTCTCTCTTGTTTCATTCTCCCTTGTAAGGTTGTCTGATACAAAAATAATTATTCTTTATCATTTTTTATTATTTATTGTTTATCATTTATCATTATTGCTAGATGCCAGGCCTGGTGGTGATGCAGGCCTGCAATCCAAGCTCTCAGGAGGCTGAGGCAAGAAGATCAAAAGTTCAAGCCAGAAGTCATTCTGGGCTTCATAGCAAGACCTGTTCTCAAAGAAAACAAAACACAACCAGGATCACATCATTACTGTTAGAAAGTTACATATTTACTGCTAATCACCACTATTCTTTACCAAAAATATATTACATTTATGTATATATGTACGTGGGGTGTACACATGCTGTGGGACAAGTGTAGAGGTCAGAGGACAACTTGTGGGGGTTGGTTCTATCTTTCTGATGTGGGTCCCAAGGATTAAACTCAGGTCATCAGGTTTGGTTCCCACTGAGCCATCTTACTGGCCCTGTTACCACTATTCTCATCTCTTTATTCTTAATCAAGCATCACCCCCATGATGGAGGACTGTACAAGGAATGGACTATCATTACTATTATTTTACAAATGAGGAAACTGAGGTTTAGAGAGATTGAGCAGCTGGTCACACAGTAGTTAAGTAATGGAATTACAGTATAACCCAGGCTGTTAAACCAACACAGTTAGAGCATTTTTAATATGCAAATTTCAAAAATAAGCCTGTGCTTCCACAGTAGTCTGTTTTATATTCTTGGGAGTTGTTTCAGGCCTTTTTTTTTTTTTTTTTTTTTTTTTTTTAATGTGTATGAATGCATTGCCTGCATGTAGGTAAGTGCACTTGTGTTGTGCAATGCCTGCAGAGGTCAGAAGAGAGTGTCAGATCCCTGGAACTGGAGTTACGGACAGTTGGTAGCTGCCGTGTGGGTGCTGGGAATTGAACCTGGGTCCTCTGCAAGAACAGCCAGTTCTCTTAACTGCTGAGACATCTTTCTAGCCCCTCAGGCCTTCTTTATATCCCTGAAGTCTCTGTCTCCTACTTCCCTTAGCCTATGATCTCGCTGACTTAACTGAAGCAGAAGCTTGGGTGGGGGCTTTTCTCTACCAGTTACCCTTCTCCTGGGCATCACACCCCTGTGCACTAGGGCTGCTGCCTCTGGAACCTCTGACTGGGAGCTTCTCTCAGATGGTCCTTGCCATCCCTTCCAGTGTTTATATCTTTGCGGATCCTCTCCATCCATCATGATGAGACATAGTCTTTCTGTACCCCTCTCCTACTGCTCTCTCCCACTTGGGCCCCAGTTGCCAGCACTATTGTCTATAGCCATGTCCTCTGCAGACCAGCAGCATACTAGGTCTCTGCTGGGCTGGTGCAGCACAAGTTTGCAGGAAGCACTCTACCCACTGAGCCATCTCCTAGCCCACCATTCCAATTTTCATTAAGAAGAATCTAAAACTCATGTAAGTAACCTGCCCAGAGTCCATGGCACGAAGGTGGCACATCTGGGATTGCTCCCCTGGAGGCACAGAGCCAGCCTCTGAGCCATCATATCATACTGTCTTCTAGTTGGGGGATCCCTCAACAAGGAGACTCCAAGTGGTGAGCACAGCATTTCTGGGTTCCCACCTGTCGTGGGCAGCTTCTGTGACTCTGTCTGCCATGGCTTCTTTTTTGCATCTTACAAATTAATGGCATGGAAGTTTCCAAGAAGTGGAAATGCTCCTGGGGGACGTTTCACTCACCTTGCCTCTATCTCCTTTGTTAGTCTCTGCTTTTCAGCCACTATAGTTACTTGGAGCTTCACCTTGATATGAACTCAAAGGGATGGTGTCTTACCTGGAGCCACTGGTATGCCTAGTGTGGGCTACATTACCATAATTAGTGGAATTCTTTTCCAAGGATTCTGATGAGTTTTTAAAATATATATATATTTTGTTTATTATTTCTATGTGTATGAGTGTATTGTTTGCATGTATGTGAGTGCACCTGTGTTGTGCAATGCCATGGAGGTCAGAGAGGGCTTCGGATTCCCTTAGAACCGGAGTTATGGACGGTTCATAGCCGCCATGCGGGTGCTGGGAATTGAACAGGGGTCCTCTGCAAGAGCAGTCAGTGCTCTTAACCGCTGAGCCATCTCTTCAGCCCCTGTGATGCATTTTTTTTTGTCTTTGCACACATTGTGAGCCTGACTACTGCCATCACAGAAGACCAGAGTTCATCCTGCTTTGCCTCAGATGGGAACATACTCAGATCACACCTACTAAGACTGCTGTCATGCAGTTCAAGAGTCATTCCTACCTGTTCTCCTGACAGGATGCTCTCCTGGGCCACAGCTGCTCCCTCTGCTCCCTGGATTGCAGTAGTGCAGTCTCCTGTTTGAGGAGCTGACCACGATCTAACATGCTAGATGCTAGTCCCTTCTACCTCCTGTGAGGGCATCCTACCTCTGGGCCCCTGCTTGGGTGGACAAGCCCTTGGTACCTCCTGAAAGCCACTAGCGTGTCCTGTGTTAGCTGGCTCTTTTCAGTGAGGTTTGGGTCCCTCTGGCAAAGCTCCTATCCTTTCTCTTTATGCCAAGTCTTGCATGTTGAGGCTTTTATATGCCTGTCTAGCCCATTGTGTCCTCCCTTGTTTCTTCTGCAGTACAATGTCCTTTGTGGGCCTTCTTCACTCTTCTTAACAATGTTACAGACTGTCACTAGAACACACTACTCTGCTAGATCCCTAGCAGCAGCCATATGGAGCCTGTTATCAGACTGGCCTCCAGACTGCAAGATTGAGCTGCTGAGGAGAGTTTTCTCTCTGTGGCTTACTGGGCTCATGGCCTGCCTGTCCTCCTCTTATATCTCTTCTCCCCTCCAGATACCTCCTGTATCCCCCAGGGCCACCACACAACTCCCTGCCTAAGCCTCAGCTACCTCTGTGCTTTTCTTCCCTTGCCTATACACCCAGCCTCCAGCCTCTTAGGTCTTCTTCCTCCATTTCCAGAGCCATCAGCAGTGTTCCTCCACTGCCCTCTGCTTATTCAGGCCACTTCGTCACTCCCCTGAGTTGCTGTCCTTTCCCTGTATTAGATGATTGCTTCTTGCCTGCCTCCTTCTAAATACGTTTCCACATTTAATCCAGTGGCCTTTCTAAAGGTACCAGTCTTCATTGTTGTGTAGTGCAATCTTTCAGCAACTCCCCACCATCTTAGAATAAAGTCTGTAGCCCTTGGTATGGCAGTGGGACTCTGGTGTCAGCCTTGTACTCTCTTTTGAGCTCAGCTCCTATCCATTACTCAGTATGAAGCAAGTCTAATGATCCCTTGCCCTCTATGAGGTTTGGTACCAGTACCCTCGGATGCCAAATATCCCCAAGAAAATGTGTGCATTTTCTTGGATACAGAGAGCAGGCTAACTATGTAAGTCTAGAACCCATCTGATGATAGGCCAACGGGCGTTACCTGAGTGGCATCTGTTGCAGAGAAGAGCAAGTGCCCATGGAGCTGGTGCAACGTGGTGATATCATCAAGGTTGTCCCCGGGGGCAAGTTCCCGGTGGATGGGAAAGTCCTAGAAGGCAATACCATGGCGGATGAATCTCTTATCACAGGTTAGGTGGCTTGTTTCCTGTTCTCTTTGGTGGGTGTCGTGGTAGCCACCAGACCATGTGACACTGGGTGGGCTGACTTATTGACTGACTGTTGTCTTTCTTCTAGGAGAGGCCATGCCTGTCACTAAGAAACCTGGGAGCATAGTAATCGCTGGCTCTATAAATGCTCATGGCTCCGTGCTCATTAAAGCCACCCATGTGGGCAATGATACTACTTTGGCTCAGATTGTGAAGTTGGTAGAGGAGGCCCAGATGTCAAAGGTAATGAAGAAACAAAAAAACCCCTGTGAAATCCCTTCTTTGAGAAACGATCTCAAGGGAGATTTAACTCAGTAGGTAGATGGCTAGCCTAGCACCCCACAAGCCCTGGGTTCAATCCCTAGCAATGCCTAAAATGGGGTGGTAGAGACACACAGTCCTAAACCCAGCCAATCTGGAGTCAGAAGCTTGGGGATCAGGACTTCAAGTATGTGTTTGTCCTAAGCAGCTCAAGGCCTACCTGGGCTACCTTATGCCCTGTCTCAAAACACAAAAAGAATTGGAGAAATGATCTCAAAGGCCCATAACACCAGTAGTTCATTATTGAGTAGAAACTGAGTTATAAACATAGTAATGGAGAGAGCTTGGACCCAACCCTCATTCTTCCCTGTCTTTGAAAGTTGTAATATCCTGTGGTCTTGTTTTATTTTTACAGGCACCCATTCAGCAGCTGGCTGATCGGTTTAGTGGCTATTTTGTCCCATTTATCATCATCATTTCAACCTTGACGTTGGTGGTATGGATTGTCATCGGTTTTGTCGATTTTGGTATTGTTCAGAAATACTTTCCTGTAAGTTCAGTGCCACAGAGCAGTGTGGTTGTTGTGCTTTAACTAATTTATTGCCGTTAACCCTATTCTCTTGTGCCTTAGATTTACTGGGCTTTAATTATCCATTATATTTTATTTGTTTCCTTCACTTATTAGCAACAACTTTAAGTCAGGGTAGGATAATCAGTGTACTTATGCAGGTTTCTATTAAAGATGCTGGCTGGTGGCTGATGGTTGGGGATGTAGAGTGCTTGCCTCCTGTGTGAAAAACCTTGGGCTCTCTCCGTGGTGCTACATACCTATACCCACAAAAATGCCCTTTGATTTCTACTCAGATGATTTTCATGACATCGATTGGCTTTCAGTTGGAATGCCGCAATTATTTACAACATGGACTATTGACCATTTCTGAGATCACAAGACATATACTATAGAAAAATTAATCATAATTTCAATGGCATGACACTCTTCTAGATCTCAGGAAAAATGCCACCTATATCCATCAATACCAGTTCCACTATCCCACCTTCCTAAGCAATAATACTTTGCAGTTACTGAAAGGCTGAAACCATTATAGGCAAAGCTTTTGATAATTAACTTTTTATTTAACAGCAGAGCAGTGGGATATACATTTTCTAATGTTAAAAACTAGATGAAGAACAGTATCTTAGGAAATACTGTTTTTTCAAACTTCTGAAATCAACAGAAAATACAGTATATCCTCAAAAAAATGTATCTGCTTAAAAAGAGAAATGATTCTCGAGGGCACTCACAGGGTCTGAAGACATTGTGGTTTTCATGAATGGGGCACTATATCTAGTACCTGGAGCCAGGACACTCATCGGGCAGGAGCAGAACAGAGGCTGAGTGGAGCATTATTTTGCCTTGTCTCATGTCAATGCTTATTTTACCTTAGAATCAGAATAAAGAACTAAAGATAGAGTTGATGCTTTATTTTAAAAACACTTCTGCCCATAGATGTAGGCATATCAGATATGGGGCATGCCATTTCCTAAGATGTAATTTTCTCCCTCAATTTTTTGAACTAGAAAAACATCTAGTTCAGTACTTGGTGACATCTAAAAGGACCTTGGTGCTTTGAAGAGTAACCTGTGAATGCATCCCTAGAATCTGCTGCATCCCTAGAGTCTACTGGTGGCCCCTTCCCAGTACCTGGCTGCCTAAGGCTTCTGCTTTGGGGGAGAGCATCTCACCAGCATGTGGCCATGGGAGGTTGAAGTTTGTGGTTTTCTGCTGTTCCAGACTTTGCCATCTTACTTTGGTTCTTTTTTTTTTTTTTTATCTGCAAAATCAGAGCGGATGCTGGCGACTGAGGTACTGCATGTTCCTTTCAGATACTGTCATCGCTCTGCACTACAAATGTCTTTTATAGGGAGGGGTTCATGTTAACTTCCAGAAGTATCACCAAGATTGCCAGGTGCCATTTTGATAAGAATGACTGTTTTAAAAAAATTATAGCATCATGCCAGGTGTGGTGGCATGCACCTTTAATCCCAGCCCTCAGGAGGCAGAGGGAGGTGGATCTCTGTGAGACTGAGGCCACCCTGGTTCACATTGTGACTTACAGGTAGGCTGTGACTAGGGAGACCCTGTCAAAAAACAACCAACAAAGAAACTGCCCCCCCATTACATCATCTATATCTCTAAAAATCACATCTTTTTTAAAGCAGTACACCATTTTACCTGAATACAACTCTTTCTATTAAAATTAAGTGAATCTTACGATGTACCTTATTTTAGAATTAGGCCATTTAAAATTAAAGTAAGTGTACATGAATAAAGTGTAGAAGTTGTGATTTGTGTTCTCAATTCAGAAAACATATTTTTATTGTAATTAAATTAATATAGTGGCTCTTGGCATGATAGCCCATGCCTACACCCATTTTGAAAATACATGGGAGCTGGAGAGATTGGCTCAGCAGTTAAGAGTAATGGCTGTTCTTGCAGAGGACCTAGAGTTGGTTCCCAGCACCCACATGGCAGCTAACAACCATCTTTAACTCCAGTTCCAGGGGGATCCAACACCCTTTTCTGTCTTCCACAGGCATTGCACAACACAGGTGCACTTACATACATGCAGGCATAACACTCATACACAAAAAATAAAAATAAAATAAATTTTATTGGATCTCTGTGAGACTGAGGCCAGTCTGGTCTACATAGTGAGTTCTAGGCCAACTGTGGCTAAGGGAGACCTGTCTCAAAAAGACCAAAATAATAACAATAAATGATAAAGTAAAATGAATTTTAAAAAGAAAATACAGCAAGATGATTGCAGATCCCAGACAGCAATTGATAATTCCAGTGTATGCCACCACACTGTACAGTAGACCTATGTGTTGTTTGGGCTTACAAAGAAAGCGGCAATGAAAAATACACAAAAGAAAAAAAACAATGTGGCACCAAGTCCCGTTTCTAGAAGCAACCCTAGTTTTACCCTTTGCCGAACATCTTTCTGCTTTAATAGATTGGGCAGAAGTGAACTGCATGAATAAAATCATAGCACTTTTCCTTAGTACCTGATTTTAGCTCATGCTGCTTCTGGTGTCTTCCACATCAACACCTATATATTATGACCGTTGCCTTCTGCTCCATCATGCCTGTAACTTAATTCACTAATTCCCTCTTGGTTTTTCCTGGGTTCTGCTATTGCAGAAAGGAAACACAGTGATAAATATCCTTCTATCTTTTCCTACTTGTGTGATTATCATCTTAAGATAGATATTTTGGAAAGCTATTATTCTCAAAGCTTTCTTATAATAATGAAGACAAAAATACTGATAATGTGATAGTTGTAATTTAGCTGCCTCTCCTGTGCCAGTGTTGTTCTGTGTATATGTTTGTGTTTGTATGTATATTGCCTCATTCAGTCTTCCAACTACCTGTGAGGGGTTTTCATCTCCATTTTGTATCTGGGCAAACTAAGGCAGAGGAAGATGATGTTAGCAGCAGAGCTGAGATAGGAGCCACGTGGCCCAACTCCCAGGTTTCTGCTCTGGCCTCCGTCAGGTTCTTGCATGACTCTGTTCCTGTCCCTTTTTGCCTCTCTAAGGAGCTGTAGGATGAAGTTAGGAACTAGGAAGTAGGGCAGTGAAGTGGACTCTGATCTGGAAGCAGCACAGAATATGCAGGTCACTGCAGTCTCAGATCCCACTGCCCACTGTGTTGTCACATGAGATTCCTTCCTGAATTCTCCACCTGCTGCCTCTCTCCCTGCAGAACCCCAACAAGCACATCTCGAAGACGGAGGTCATCATTCGCTTTGCCTTCCAGACGTCTATCACCGTGCTGTGCATCGCCTGCCCCTGCTCCCTGGGGCTTGCCACGCCCACAGCAGTGATGGTGGGCACTGGGGTGGCTGCTCAGCATGGTATCCTCATCAAAGGGGGCAAGCCCCTAGAGATGGCACACAAGGTGGGCTCTCACCAGGACCTCACTGATCTTTGTGGGGACTTGGCTAGCAGTTTTTACAAAGTCCTTATGAAAATAGTGTTTGTTTACTATTTCTTGTTAAAAGAAAAACCTGAGGGCAACAGTGTTAATCACTGGACTAGGAAGCCAAGACTGCCTGGGAGTAACAGCAGAACAGCAGCAGTTAGCGGTCACACAAGCCACTGCTTTATAATTGTTCACTGACTCTCTCTCTCATGGTAGGTGTGCTTTATTCCCATCTTACAGATGAGGAGACTGGAGCAGAAGGAGGTTAGGTAACCTGTCTAAAAGCTGTTCAGGAGAGAGCTCGCAGCTCACATGTATGGGATTAGCACAGGGTACTGCCACCTTGGAGTGGAAGTGAGTCGCAGTGTGCCTTAAGACTTCTCCTTTAAGCCAGGAGTTGTGGTCACACCCATAGTTCCAGACCTCAGGAGGCTGAAGTACAAGGATCATGAGTTGAAGTTTTACCTAAGCTACTTAGTGAAAACCTATTTCAAAAAGAAATAGGTTTGCCCAGCACACCACCCTTTACCTCCAGACTCCTATTCATTTATCTAGAATTTACCACACACTTACTTGAAGATGGGACTTGCAAGTCCTGGTGTTGGTCATGCTTCCTAGTTTCTAAGGAATTTATAGCACAGTGGGCAGGACAGGTATGTAATGGGTCAATCACAAGTACTGAGTACTATGAGCATAGTGCCATGAGGACTGTGACAGGGCCTGTCCTGTGCAGGAGTGCCTGGGTAGTGTGGTGGCTGGGAAAGCTGAACCGGAGACTGAATAATTGAACAAGAGCTAGCCAAAGTGATAGTAGGGGAGTCACAACAGTGGGACAGTAGGTGAAGAAGACCTGGACAGGCCATGTGGCTGCGTTGTAGCATGAGCCCCACAGCTCTAGGCTACACTTTTCCTTGCCATTCTATCCCTAGCATCCATTATGAGACCCAACACACTGAAACGCTCAGAGACGTTTTATTAAATAAACAAATCAGCAACTAGAAAAATATCAAAGAGAAAGATTATGAGAATGAGATGGGGAGGGAAGGAGGAAGGAACTAAGGGAGGGAGGGAAAGATAATCAGTTGAGTCTGGTTATGAAGGCCTAGAAGGATCACATGGTAGAGTAGGGTGCTTCTCTGTGGGCCACTCAGTTATATACTGGGAAGGTCAGTCTGATCACATAGGACGGACTATGGGAGACAGGGATCTTTGGAGGGAGGATATCAGTTGACAGTGTCAAAGACAGGCCACCTCTGACCTTTGGAATCCAAACATTGTATCTACTGCTTGTTACTTGGGGAAGACTGTGTTTTTGGATCATGGACTGAATAGAGCGACCTCTTGCCCTTGAATAGGGCTTGGCTGCACATACAGCCCAGGGCTGCACTCTCAGAAGTAGGGACTCTGGCTTAGCCATACAAGTGCAGGTGTATAGAGTGGCAGACGTAGGGTCTGAGCCCAGACTTGAGGGACTGGGACAAAGCTACCATCAACCACATGGGATGGCTTTATAATGGGCTGAGGTCCCTTGTTATTATCTCAGGAGAGCTTTTTTTCTCTCTGGAACTCAGAGTATAAGGACAGTCTAGGCAGGCTCTTGCACTTAGGCAAGAGAAAACAATGGCTGGGCTCAGAGGACAGGAGCCAGGGGACAGGAAGACTTCTGAACCAGACTTCTGACACGGTGTGAGAACTCTGTAGTCCACATCATGACCTGGAGACCATGTCACACCATCTCCTCTACAGCCAAAAGAATTTCTCACTGTACTATATGGCACAGTGGGGCAGTGTAGACTGGCAGATGGTAATGGTTTCTTGTTGGTAACAGTTGTTGTCTACATGGATCAGGCTGAGGAGTAGGAGGGTAACAATCATTCCCTGCCTAAAACAGGTTGGGTGAAGCTTTGCCTCAAGACATGGAGACTGTGAAAGTGCTACCCATGATATGTCACCGACATGTGGTTGTTTTTGGCAGATAAAAACTGTGATGTTTGACAAAACTGGCACAATTACCCATGGGGTCCCCAGAGTCATGCGGTTCCTGCTGCTCGTGGACATGGCTGCGCTACCCCTCAGGAAGGTTCTGGCTGTGGTGGGCACTGCAGAGGCCAGCAGCGAGCACCCCTTGGGTGTGGCAGTCACCAAATACTGCAAAGAGGTACATAGACCTCACTCAGCCTGGGCATTGTGTAGGCTTCCCTCTTCAGCTTTGTCCCCCACGCCTTGCCACATACCCGCTTGCCTGTGTGCCCTGGAGGAGACCTTCACTTGTGGTAGACAGGGCTCTGGGTGGCCCTGTCATAGTTATTTGTAAAACAAGTGGGTGACACCAAGCTCAGGCCCCAAAAAGTGAAATACAACCTCTGCCTTCTAAGAACCTAAAGTCTGGGGCAGGAAAGATGGGTACCGTGTGAGTTCCTTTATGAGGGTATGCAAACATTCAGTGGGCTCACCTGGAAAGGAGCTGATGGGTTAGCCAAAATGTGAAGATTTGGGGTACAGTTTAGAGAAGCACCGCACCCCTTCTTCTGCCCTCAGAGCAGACTCTGTTTATGTTGAATACAAAGGCAGCGGAGTGGGCCAGGGGACTGTGCTGACTGTTTAAGTGGCCTGAGCAACGTTATTGATGTAGAGGGGTGCTGAGGGTACCTTGAAGAAACACTGACAGGATGTTGGAGAAACTTCATTTTGTGCTTGACCCTTACAGGGAGTCAGTATACTACTGTTCCACATCTGTTTGCTGAGTCAGGAAGAGGAACAGCACTCTCCTGCTGTCTGCTGACTTCTACCACTTCCTGCTCCCTTCCCCAGGGTCTCACACATGTCTTGTAGCCTCAGAATAGCTTTGCCACCCACTACTTAATTTAGTCCATTGTTCTAATGAAATTACCTTCAGCATAGAAATGCCTGTGTGGTCTGAAGTGAATTTCCTCTTCTGTCTATAGCTGTTGTCATGAGGCATCTACCCAGGAAGGATTTAGCTATTTAACCTGATTTAGTTTAACAACTACTGCTGAGTCCAAAGGGAGAAAAGCATGCACTGTGCTGATAGTTGATTTCCTAACTTTTGCCTTCAGTCCCACCTTCCTTCCCTCTTCCTCTCACTGCCCTTATCCTGTGGCCCCTGTCCTGTCCTCTCCAGTTTTGATCCCTTCCTTGCTCTCCTACTTTCACAGGAACTTGGAACGGAAACCTTGGGTTACTGCACAGATTTCCAGGCAGTGCCAGGCTGTGGAATTGGCTGTAAAGTTAGCAGCGTGGAAAGCATCCTGGCCCACAGTGGGCGGACTAGTCACCCGCAGGGAGTTGGCAACCTTCCTGCAGGAACAGGTATTCCTCACCTTCCTTCCTCACCCTCCTTCCTGCTGGGTCTGTTGATCTAACTTGGGAGAAAGTGGAGGTGAGCCAAACCATAGAGTTCCATGTCAGATCTCCCTGTGGACGTTGTTCCATGCCTACCCACCCCAGGAAAGCCTGCTGTTTCTCTTATATGCTTCGATAAATCTCAAATTTTGTTGTTTGTGTGTGTGAGAAGGGTTTTGCTGTCCAACTTTGAGTCCAGCTTGTGGACTCGATCAACACTACCACCTCTACCTTCTCAGTAGCTGGTACTGTGTGTGTGCTACCATCCCTGGCTTGATGTCTCAAAAGTTTGGTAACGGGCCAAACTGACATATGACTTAGACTCATACTATATTGCTTCTCTGATCCATAATTTTGAGTTTCCTCTTTCTTACCTGTATTAGTTACTTCTCTGATGCTGTGATAAAACACTGTGACCATGGCAACTTATAGAAGGAAGAGTTTATTTGGCTTGCAGTTCAGAGGTTTAGAATCCATAATGGTGGGAGAAGCATAGTGGCAGAGGTGGCCAGAGCAGAAAGCAGAGTGATCCCATCTTGAAGCAGGCACAGGAAGCAGAGAGCAACTGGAACCCCTGAAGAATTTTCAAAGCCTTCCCCCAGTGGTGTGCTTCCTCCCACAAGCCCACACCTTCTAAGACTTCCTAAAACAGGGCCACCAACTGGGGACAAAAACGTAGAGCCTGTGGGGGACATTCTCATTCAAACCACCACATTACCCCCAATTGATTTTCCTTCTCATAAGCAATGGAATTGACTTTCACTTGTTTTTCTTGTTTTCTTCCCATATGGGTAAACTCTGATTAATGTGTAGTACTTTCAGAACTGATAGGAAGTAAAGGAAATAGAAGGAAATGGTCCACCCCAGCCAAGAAGGGACACTGCCCAGTGGCAGATGCCTATTTCATTTCACTTTTTTTAAAGATAAGGTTCCACTATGTAACCCAGGCTGGCCTTGAACTTGAGATTCTCCTGCCTCAACCTGATGAATGCTAGGGTTACAGGCATGCACCACTGCACCCTGCCTTGCCTGCCTACCTGCCCTCTTTTCCTCCTCCCTCTCCCTTCCTCTTTCTTTACTTTGTGTGTGTACATGTGTGTGGGTATGTATACCTGTGTGCACACATGCAGAGGCCAGGAGAAGATGTCAGGTGTCCTATGCTATCATTCTCCACCTTATCTCTTTGAGGATCTCTCACTAAACCTGAAGCTCACCATTTTTTGGCTAGGCTGGCTGGCCTGGAAGCCCCAGTGATCTTCCTATCTCTGTTCCCTCTCCTTGTGCTAGGGTTACAGGCATGCTCAGGTGACCAGACTTGTCTGAGTGCTGGGGATCCAAACTCAGGTTCTGAAACCTGGGTGGCAAGCCCTTTTAGCCACAGAGCCATCTCCATAGCCCGCCTTTCTTTGTCTAAGGACACTTCTTTAGCCATTGCCTTAAACTGGTGGAGAGCATCTAGAACCCAAAATGACCTGTATCTAGTGGTTTTTCTTAAATGTACTGTTAGCTAAATCTTGATATTTAGGTGATATTATTAAATGTCACCTGCTGCCTTTTAATAATTTAGAGCCCTAAGGTAACTTTTCCATTAGAGCATCCAAGAATTGGGCAGTGCTCATCAGGGATCTGTCTCTTAGAAGATAACAGGTGAAAAGCCCACCTGCCCTTTCTGAAGGCATGATTTCAAAATATATAGAGGCAAGGAGTGGTGCAAATGCCTATGATCCCCCAGCATTTGGGAGGTGGAGGCAGGAGATCAGGAGTTCAAGGCCAGCCTGGCCTGTATAAGACCCATAAGACG